TAATATCACACATTGGTTCTTCAAAGGTACACTAAACTCTGACGAAAATGGGATACTAGAGAAATGTAACAGTCAAACGAAAGCAAACTGAATATTCAGTTGCTGCGGGGAGGCTCAAACAAGGACAGACTTGGAAAGAGTAAAGAGAGGTTTGTTTCGGCGTGTGAGGGCAGAATACAAACCAAAGGGCCTTCATAAAAAGCGTGAGTCAGAGTGTGTCCTTCTCTCACATGGTGAGCCATGCCACAGCCCTTAAATATACAAAAAAACAACTTTGCTAAGGGCCCAAGGACACCAAGGGCAAACTCACCCACTCCTCATTTTCTCATAAGTGACCCTGAGATCCACAATATCTCACCATCTTTCACTGCTCCCATCTGCATCATCGATGTCGTCAGCAACAACAGCACGGAACTTAATCACCAAACGCCACTGGTATCGCTGTCATCCTCATTACCATAATCCCTTTCATATCTTTCATCACTGTCCTCCTCTGCCTCATTATCACCACCAGCATCATGATCATCCTCCTCTAACTCCTTACTGTGTTTTCCCTCCTCAGGGCCTCTCCAGATGACCTGTCCCCCCTCCCCCCCCCTCCCTCCTTGTCCTGGTTTCCTCCCTGCTGAAGAGAAACTTAGGCGGCTTACTTCTGACAGAAGGACAAACTGTTTGACTCATTCAGGAATTGCTGTGACAAAACCACAGAGGTGCTGGAAGAGTCAGTCATACCCTGATGAGGTATGAGCGGTTCTCTAGTGGACAATCAGAAGAACAAGGTAGGGGAGGCATGTGAGGGTGTGGGGATGGATAATACTAAATGTATGCCGGGCTTGTTAGAATTTGGGTGACACATATATGTAATGATGTGGAAGATATGTGTATAAACAAGCCTCTGTCTGCCTTGACTTGCCTTTTTTCCTGCCTTGTACCATGCCTATTAGTGAGGTATGTAGTAGGGCTATCTTCAAATATCAGGGCAATCTCCCAAACCAAGTCTCGCAGTGCCTCTTCAATGATAACCATTCGAGCAGTTTTCAGTAACATTTAGAACGATCCCCAGAGGTCGACTACCCCGTCTCTTGAAAACCACCCGGTGACTAAAACACCAGGACGGCCGTGGATCAGTGGTAGAGTCGGTCATCTCTCAACCAGAAGGTCAGAGGTTTGATCCCTAACTCCCGCAACCGCAAGTCTGATGTGTCTTTGGGCAAGACACTTACCCCCACGTTGCTCTACTGCTTCGTCAGCGGTGTATATGTGAATAGGATTAACTTATATTGATGGACACTTTACATAGCAGCCTATACCATCAGTGTGTGAATTGGTATGAATGGGTAGGTGTGACCTGTGGTGTAAAAGTACATTGACTAGTCAATATTTCTTCAGTGGACACTGTCAGGAGGGACCAAGAGCTGAGCTTTTGGTATACTCCTGTGGGTGCTCAGCTTATTTCAAGGTTAAGATTCAGTGTTCATTGTTTTGAATTATCTTCCACAGAGGTTTACATCTTTCTAAATCAAAGACAGTGATTAAAACAATAAAAAAAAATTAAAAACAGCTTCTTAATTTGTTTAATGTTGTTTTCAGGATGTTGAGGGGGCTGCGGGCTGAACTGCTGCTCGCTTGTTTCTAAGTGCTTGTAACCAAGAGTGGAACTACCTGCATCTCGTCCTCTGGAGAGCAGATAGACCTGGTGGTTAAAGTCATGTGTTCGTTAAAAATAGACTTTAACTGATGAGAAAAGGGTCCTTACTGAATGACTAGACGCCTAGATGAGGAAAGGCATACTGTATTAATTTTGCATGAAAATGTTATGACTCTGGTACAGCCAAGTTTGTGGATTGTCCTGGTTCAATGTGCAAGAGCCAACAAAAACTCCACTCCAGCAAGGCGGCTCCGGCACCCAAAACGACTGTTAGAAAAGAATAAATGGAAATAGGGCAATGGACGGCAGAGAGTGAGTTTCTCCTTTATCACCAAAGAAATGGACAGCGTGAGATCTAACAGACTCTTGACAGAATAAAAGTACCATGCCAAAATAGCGAGAGAAAAAAATAACAATATGGTAAATGGCTCCTTTTTTCTCAAAGGGCCACTACATAATACTGCTGTGGCTCCAGTTATTTTAACATTAACACGTTTTTATCAGCGCAGGCATCACAATAGGCGAAACACTTGGGAAAGTGACAGGATGCATTTAAATTCATCGTTTTCCAGGAGGTGTTGGCAGATGAGAAGTCAGTAGAGCAAAGCTTTTTGAGATGGGAGAACAAAGAGAAAAATTACATTAGATGTATGTATGTTATGGTCGTGCTACACCAAGTACATCAAACGCACTTCCTCTGGGCCATGCATCTTGTGCAGTTGCTTTTCAGATCAAATTTAGGCATAATAAGTCAAAGGAACATCTGCTCCGCCTGTCCAGAACCAAAGCCAGTACATTTCCAGGAAAAGAGAGCATGTGCTGGTTATTACTAAGAAACACTCTTGAAATCCCCAGTGGCCTTTGCCAAAGCTATGGTTAAAGCACTCTCCAACAGTTTCAGAGAGGCCATCTATGTTTCTCCCCTCGAAGGGTTAGCAGGGCTGCTGAGAGCAGCAGGGTCTCTGCTGTAGACAAATGTTTGGACAGGAGAGGCTCCAGGTTGCTCTAAAAAACAATGGGACCATCAAAGGCATCAGGCGAGATCAAAGGTTGGCAAGAGAACTCAGTTTTTGATCCATATACCGGCAGTGATGGAGGATTCCTCAGTATAAGAAAACAAGTATGTCAGGACTGTTAGAGGTAGTTTTATTCACAAGTGTCACAGCAAATGGGTAGATAAAAGAACTAGGCAGAGTAAGAAATGAGCAGTGAAGTGCTGGTGCAGATATGTTGCAGTGTTCTTTAAAATGGAATCCCTGGTTATTTAAGCAGTGGATTTCCCCAAAAGATTTAGCTTAACTCCAGCAAACTCTGGAAAACGTTGCCCATGAGAGAGCCGCTTTCTCTGATGACTCAATAAAGTGCAGTCCAAGTTGGGTGACCTTTGACCTGCGACTTTTGACAAAGCTAACAAAATGTGGCCGCAGACTGGGAGCCCTTTTGTGCCAAGCCATCCATGAACCATTAAAGTTCATTAGTTTCCTCCCAGGCAATTTGGCGAGGCAGTAGCAACGTCTGGGGGGAAACTTGGTTTTGGGAACCAGAGGGTCACCGGTTCAAGTCTTGGAATGGACCATGTATGGGACTGAGAGTGGTTGCTGGAGGGATTCCAGTTCGCTCCCTGAGTATTGCAGAGTTGCCCTTGAGCAAGGCACTGAAGCCCCAACTCTGAGTCCCTCTGCAGTCCCCCCTCACTTGATGTATCTCCATAAATGCACGTCGTATATAGGTCATGTTCATGCTTTCAAAAAGTATTTAAAAAATAATGATCTTCTATTTTTAATTTGCGGACCAAGCTTGTGTTTGTAAGACGCTGAACACCAGGTGTAAGCCATGCATCCACTCGTCTCTTCTCTGACTGTTCCAGCATGAAGGAATATCCTGGCTATTTCTTTCCATGTTTATTATTGTACCTCTTGTCTTTTATGCACCATCGGGAGTAAGCTGTTTGAGGGGGGTCCATTTTCCACCACTGGTTATCAATGGGATCTTTCAGAAAAGACCTTTCCTCCACTGACCATGCACACTGGGGGCTATTGAGATGTGCCCCCTGTAACTCTCTCACTATGGCCCCCTTCATAGTTACTACTGACCCTGAGACCTCTGGTCCAATATACATATGCTATCAGCTTGCAGCAAGCTGAGGGTGCAAGAGCTAAGAGTACACAAACATTCATACCCATTTGGAAACTGAGAGACACAATGCAGGGTTTTCACTGGAACTGGTGCTCAAGTCCAAAACAAATAGAGTCCTGAAGAGAGACCTTGACACTTAAAAGAAAGAGAGTAAACTATCCGAGCCAAGCCTACAAAACTTGATGCAAACTGAGGCTAATATTATCTGTAAAAATGTTCCTTTCACAGATATGTCAGTGTCAAAGCAGCCTATACATTTTTTTTCCTTTCAGAAGATATAATGCATTAAACATTCTTGGGGTGTTTTTTGAAAATGGTGTCATCAAGTTGTTTTGACAGAAGAGATATATCATTTTCATAGTTCCGAACATTCTTAGCAATAATGTCTGCAGCACATGTAGCAGAGCATCAAAGCCAAGCAGACCGTCTTACATATGAGAAAATGTTGACAGGCCTGTTATAATAAGGCCAAATATACAGTACATTGATAAAGTCTTTTTTTTCTGCATATCTGTGCAAAACAGTTTTGTTTTTTATTCCAGCTCAAAGGCGCAACTAAGTAGGCCACTGTATCAGTAATATGGGAGTTTTTTCTGAGCTCATTATTGATCATCTTTTGTAAAAAAAAAAATTCCATATCAATAAGGCTCTAAAGAAAACAGATGAAGACCTCCAGCATATAACTTTGTAAAGAATCAAACCAGTCTGAGCAGCCTTCCCCGAGAAAATGCAACAGCAACCCACTGTAAAGCACGGCGCATTAAATTTACTTCCCCTGTGGATTTCTTGCTTGTACTATAAAGTAGGCCTGTCAGCTCCCTGACGTTTTGAGGGTAAGAGAGAGATGAGATGAGAAGGAAGAGGGAGAGGGGCGAAAGAAGCAGGGGTGAAATATAGACAGAAAAGAGAGATAGAGATGCGTACACTGCAGCATCTCTACGAGGCGAAAGGGATACAAACCATGTCTCCCCTGCTCCCCGACCAATTACTAACACATACATTGATTCATTGGGGTGACGAGGTGTGGAGAACACAGGAATAGCAACGGCAGCAGTGAACAGTTGCGGGGCTTAGACATTAATCTATACAAAACAATGCAGAAAGTTCACAGGGTAGACATGGTCAAATATATCATCAGCAGAGGAAATGAGGATTTCCGCACAAACAAGAACCCTGCATTGAGCATGGAGGGGAGCGTTGAGTGATTGAAGATTACCTGTAGGTCAAAGAATTTGCTGTATCTTCTGTAGATGATGTGGGATGTGTTGTCAGAGTAGGTGACATTGATGAGATATACCTGCCAAGAGAAGAGAGGCAAAGTTAAAACATATTGGTTTTTATCAGATTAACGGTGCATCATTTGACATTCACCATGGACTAATGCCAAGTGGCTACAGAAAAGAACTCGGGCACCAACACATACTACATGCAGGTGGCCCAACACTATTTCATTTTTATTGCTGACTCTGATGTTACACTTTGACCTATACCTTATAAGTCACTGTCACATCTGTTCCAACCGATACATTTTTACATCCTTTATTAGTTCCCTGCCGTGCATCCATCATGTGCTTTTACAAATTTAAAAAAAAAGAAGTGATATTCCTTTTAATATAAGCATAAATGACTGACTCAGGCGCTGCACCATCTGCCATATTCCCACCAACTCTGCAGGCTAAAGGCTGTTGAATGCTGAATAACTATTGCATGGACTGTGATTGTATGGTGAGGTCACCTGTAAGGTCCATTCGTTTTATGTATCTAAGACACATTCCTGCTGTTGAAATTCTAGATTGCTCGAGTTCTCATTGGGCGACCTGTTTGTCTGTTGAATTTTTGTTACTGACATGTGAATGTAACTGTCTGAATGCTGCTGTGATGAGTTTCTTTCCTTTATGTTGTCTTGGCTTCTTTCAATGACTCAGTATAGGCTGTGAAACTGAATTGCCCTTCTGGGATTAATAAAGTTGTCTGAATCTGAATAAAGAGATGAACAACACTGTTAGTAAGAACATGATTGTATTACATAAATGATAATGAATATCTATTTTAATTTTGTTCCTGGCTGTTCACTTATTCAAGTATCACAGTCTTTGAATACTGAAATAGCTTGAAAAGAAATGCATTTTCTCTGTTGTTTTTACATACATACATTTTACATTGATATTTTTATCATCCAAAAAGTACATCAGACTCAAACCTCAGGGTTCTTGTTTCCTGTGGGGTGGGTGCTTAAAATGTTAATCTGTTCCTTCACAATACTGATTCTGATACCAAGACTTGCGTAAGGCCAAGTATTCTTGTGGTATAAGTTCAATCCAAATAAATGTGTTCATAATTGGTGGAAAAAACAACATTGCTGATGTTTCTATAGCTTTGACTGACATAAAAATTCCACTTGCTCTGTGCTGGGTTGTTTTTTTTTTTTGTGTTTCATGATAAATTAACTGAAACTACTAACATGTTTTGTATTGGGGGAGGGGGTATTAAATTATGGAATTCAAATGGATTTTTGACTTGCATAATTGCAGTACTTGAATACTTGATTCCCATTTTTGTTTGTACCAATACTGGTATTGTATCCAAACAACTGAAGAACCTACATCTGATATAAGTTTGATATTTAATGAGCTGTATGTTGCAAATGTAATGCCATTTAATTTGATGAATGAAAACTGATTTTCTTTCAGCTGACTAATCAATTACTCCTCTAACCTTCTAAGTACTCCTTAAATCAATAGAAGCCATTGTATTAATTACAATGGCAGACACATTTGCGTTTGTACTTTGCAGTACCAGCAACTTACAGATAACGTGCTCACAGGGCTCCAAACCAGTTTCCTCAACATGGACGTTCATCAACACAACTCATAAATAAATAAATCTGTGAATGATTAATACCACCCGGGAAAGAAGGTGACATCATCGCCCTGTTGTCAGCAGCACACTGACCTACTGGCCTTTACCCTTGGCTGAAGCAATGCCTCAGCTATGAGAGGCCTGTTAAGATTGAGATAGAGTCCATTTAAGAGAAGCCAAGTGATGCTGCCGTCATGTCTAATCTAATGAAACATTGATAACCCAGGTAACAGATCCAGACGCCAGGAAAATTCCATTAGAGACAGTAAGAGCAGGTGGGACTTCTCAACTGCTGATTTAGAGATGTTCAAAAGAGGGCTCTGGATGTGAAAACCCTCGAGTGGATAAGTTGTTACATAACATTACGCTACAACCTTCTGAAGGGCAAATTACACTGAGTAACCAGTTTATTTGGTACACTTCCAGACTGTAATACAACCTCTTAAAGCTTATTAATACCTGGGCCCTATTGGTGATATTCATGTGGGTGGATTAGAAACCTCTATCAACATCATGTGATCAAGTACAACATGAAAACAACTCAATCAAGTCCTAGAAGTTACTCTGCCAATGCCTTCCAAAACAATCCATCAAATTTGTTTTTATGAGATGCCTCTGTGGGTATTGGTGGGAAAGCATTGTTCATTAGTGTTGAGATTCCTAGCAAAATGTATTCATACTGTATGAGCCTTTTCTAGTTTTCAAGCTGTATGGTTTCTGTTGGGGACTGATCAGAAAGCACAACTTGTTTCGCATTAGGTTGGTTGTTTCTTTCGAATGACCAATTCGAATGACCAATTCGAATGACCAATTCTATATCTAAACTATACAAACTTTCGAATGAGGATGTAAAAAAAAACCCACTGGAAAAGGAAAGAGCGGGGGCCCATTGCAGGTATTTATGGATCTAAATAAGTTCTGATTTTTTCGGCATTCGTCCCAAAGTCCATGACTTTTTTTGAAGGGTACAGAATGAATCGGTCACAGGTAAGATAGGCCCAAATCAATACAACCTTTCTATTTTGTCTGCTTATATATTTGTCATTGACTTATTTGGGGGAAAATAAATACATATCCCATTAAAGGTGTGATTAAATGTGGTTATGGTAAAAAATAACTATTTTCTCTAAATAATTATCTATATATATGCAGAATCTGTAGGGGAGTGAACATAATTTCATAGCTATTGGTGTTCTAGTTCCAGTTATTTTGGGTAGAATTGACTAATCAAGGTTTAAGCAGACTTGTTGTATCTAAACAGGACAAGACAAGAACCCAAAACTTCAGAATCCATAGGCCAAGATTGTTTCCTGGAACCTGTCAGCTATCATAGATGATAACGTTTTAACGTTTTAGATGTTGTTTGGTCCTCAACTAAAACTCCATGTTGACATTTCCAATTTTAGCTGAGCTGTGTAAAAGTGAAGGAGTGGAAATGCTACACAGCTTTAATGTTTTTAACAAAAGTATTAAATCATGACTGAAGGAGAAACAACATGGTTCCAACAAGCTCACAAATGTTTCTAGTATGTGTTAAACAGCGCACCTCTTGCAAATGTATTTTCTCTGTCTTGCATTAACAACTGAACTGTTTTGATTTTCTTTTCTGTTTTATTTTTCTTGATCTGTTACTTCTTAAAGCCTCCCATGGGAAGTTGTTGGAAATTAGCATTTTGCTATAAACACTAAGAGCAGTGCATTTGGGACTTGTTCATTGGTAAATGTTACAGCATTATTGTTACTGCATGTCCGTGTTAAATAAAGTGAGGTTTTCTGGCACAACTTCACCAATTACCAAGGTGCATGAAGAGTGAAAGGCTTGAAGAGGTCAAAACGCTCCAGCAACTACACGTAGTATGAAGATCAACTTTATTGACAAATTAAGCCGACTAGTTTCAACTTGTGGCCTTCATCAGGGTCAACGATCAATGATTTCGACTTGTGGCCTGATGAAGGACACAAGCTGAAACGATTTGGTCTAATTTGTCAATAAATTTGATATTCATACAAGTGTTGCTTTAGCTTTTTGACTTGTCCATGTTAACTTAAAACAAAAATGGATGGAAGACAAGGTAATGGCTCAGATAACTTCTTTCCAGGTATCTTTTGTCCAACAAAAGCTAATAGGTCCCAACGGTTGGAAAGACAGATTGAAATATTTTGCACCTCAATTTATAAAATTGCTGCACTAGGATGTCAAGCTGTTTCAACCAGGATATATTTCCAAAAATGAAAAGTGAAATGTGTTTCTTTTCTTGCAATAAAGTTTAGAAGATTTACCAAAATATCTGGTTAAACTGTCTGTACTGTGCATTGTGTGCTTGCCTAGCCGTCTGTATTGAGAATAGATGTGTCTTTGTTTCTGTTGGTGTTGCCAGATCATGATAGTATATTTAAAAAGCATTCATGGTTTCTTCCAGAGATTCCTACCCAGCTGAGTACTTCAAAGCGGCATACACTTGGCAATCATTTTACAGATTTCTTTTTTAGCTTAAATAGCCATTATCAAGTGATTTGCAATAAAACACAATGCTGTCACCCAGCCAAGGCATTCCAGCTAAGTGGTTCAGACACAGCGCAAATAGAAATCCACTTAGCTTCAAGCCACCGTGAACACAGAAACGATTGACTTTGCCTCATGGATAGCATTCAGATCAAATAAAGGCAGCGTGTTTCCCTGGTGAGCCAGTTCCTGCTCCTTATTCCTGCAAGCTCCATCTTTGTGACTGATCTTACACTGTCACTCCGAACCCTCTGTACCTGCCAAGAGCCCCCAGAGCAGAACCGGGGAGAATGAGGTCGAGTGTAGGACCCTGAAGTTGACGCACGAAGGTCAGCAGCTTGAAACAAAAACGGTTCAACAACAAAGCCGGGTGTTAAAAGGCCTTGTTGCTGCTGAAGGGGCTCAGCGGCTGCTGGCAAGGAGCCATCGCAGTATGTTCACTCCCATGCAAAACACAGATACTGGCATCCTGAAGCTGTGACTGTCACACTACACTGACAAACTTGTTCTTAGCACAGTAGGGAGTCACCACAGCGATTAGCTTGGCATTTATTGCTATGGAAATGTGCTCCCCTGGGTACTGCCTGGCAACAACATCATAAAAGTTAAAAAAAAAAAAAAAAAACAGCCAGCAACATTTCAGAAGTGTCTTTGTGTCTTTTGTAGCATAACAAGGACTTGCGAGTACAGCAAAGAGCTCTTCTTCCTGCTCATTAACAAAGCAGCTCTTGACAAAAGCTCAGGCCTCCTATCATCCTGTAGGTCTCATCCCATTCTTTAAAAATGTTTATGTCAAGGCTAAACTTGTACTGAAAACATCTGGAATATCTTAAGCTATTAGTGCATATACCCTTCAACTGTAAAGGGCAACTCTAAGATAAGTCCCATAGAGAATGGAGGGGCTTCCCTGACACTTGTTTTTTTTTTTGGGTGTT